GGGCATGAAACGGCTCTTTTAATTATTTCAGATAAGTAGTAATGGATAACTACTACATAAATTGTTCTGGTCACACTTTAGATTAGGGTCCAATTCTCACTGTTAACTATAACTTTTGCCTCAATATGCTCCTAATTACTGCTTATTAATACTTAGTAAAGTAGTTGTTACGTTTAAGATTTGGGTAGGATTGAGGATTTAGAATAAGGTCTTGCTGAATAAGACATTAATATGTGCTTTTTAAGTACTAATAAACAGCCAATATCCCAGTAATATTCATGCTAATAACCAACTAGTTAATAGTGGGAATTGGACACTTAAGTATTTAAAGTGAGAAGGGTATGCATTTAAAAGCATGCATTTTAAGGTTAGACTTTATATTTTGACGTTAAATCCACTATTTTATTCTGTGTATATATATATATATGTGTGTGTGTGTGTTCTATGGTCTATATACAGTATTAAGTTCAATTACATAAGAAGTAACTGTAGTTAAATTACAGAAAAAATAAGTAATCCCTTACTTTACGTTTTCAAGGGAAAAGTCATTCAATTACAGTAACTAATTACTTAGTCACTAGTTACACCCAACACTGGTCCTGTCCAAACTGTTGTTGCTATAAAATTAGAAGCGCACAATTTCCTAGAATATCATTATATGCTTCAACATTAATATTTGTACTCATGGAAATTACTAGAGCAGTCAAACCTGTTCATTTGAAGGGGCGTCCCAATACTTTTGTCTATATAGTGTATGTGACTGTTTGAATGACCCTCTGCAGTGTTTCTTTCCAGACTCTCTGGACAATCAGTCGTGGACGCCATCATTCGCTGCCCGTTCCTGTCTCGAGTCCCTCAGACCTTCCTGCAGCAGGCTAGAAAGTCCTTGGTGGCGTACGCCGTGAAGTGTCCCGTCATGATGGACCTTGCGTCGAGGCCGCTGGTGCGCTCGCTCTGCTCCTCGTCCTCCAGCTTCCAGAAAAGTGAGGGCACTCCTCCAGCCGGCGAGGGTCAGTCTCCGCCGCCCTTTGTGCTTGAGTTCAGTGCGCTCGCTTGCCTTGCTGAAGAATGTCCCTCTGCTCTTTGCATTAGGAGCCAAAGAGGCGGCTAGAGTGCACCCCGCGCCGCCCGCCGGTCAAGCGTCCGCCTCCAGATGCCCGTTCCTGGCGGCTGAGATGGGGCAGAGGAACAGCGGCGTGGTGCGGCAGGCCAGCATGGCGCTTCAGGAGGACGTCTCTGAAGTTCGCACCGTGTGCAAAGGTTTGTGAGGAAGTGTTTTAGTGTGTTGGGCTCCGCTGTGGTTTACTGTATGTTAGGGGTTGTGAAGTAATGCGTTTACAAAACTGTTTGGTCAGGCCAGATGATATGCCTGCAAGATTTGGGGAAAATTTGCTAATTGCAATGAAAAAAACATTATAGCTATTACTATGAATATTGTTATTATTACTAAAAATACAAGAAATTTCTAATTCAAAACAGAAAACTAAAAAATAATACACTGACTACTTAAGAAAAAA